TCTGGCTTGGGAGTGATGAGGAAGGAGCCACATCTACCACCACATAGGGAAGAAACCATTTCCACAGTAACTTGTGAAGATGTGAGAAGTTCTGCCTCCACCTACCTCCCAGATACTGGCCGTCAGGAGTGGGTTGGGTAGGGCAATGAGAGAAGCTGGAGGAAGGGCAGCAGTGCGGTCTTTTTTTCTTAAAAACAAAACAAAACAAAACGCCACCCTCTCACCCAATGAGGGACAACAGAACCCTAGGCTCCATGGATGAGGGGCTTCAAAACAGTGTCTTAATCACAGATGGTATACTAACAGTAGAGACATATGTACATAATAAATAATATAAAACAAAGCATATACATTTGTGGATTTAAAGGACTGCAAAAATAAGAAAAGTCAATGGATTGATAGACTGTTCACAGTAGACCGGGCATGGTGGTAGTGAATTGGAAGCTAGGCAGGGCCGTCTAGAGATCACTCTTCCCCACTTCCCTCTGTCCTAGGGGCCCAGCTGTTTGTATGGAAGAAACCTGAGTCTCCAAGAGGAGCAGGCACTCGGGTCTACTAGGTCCCTTTGATAGTTTTCTGTAGAGCGATTCTGCAAGAATCCAACCCCCTAAGTAAATACATGTGGATCAGATGTGAGCAGCATCAGAAGGTGCCTTTCCAAGGGAGGCCAGACAGTACCCAGTCACCCTTGTCTGTTGACCCACAGCTGTATACACACAGACACCTGGAACCTGACTCTACTGCCATTTTGATAATACTTCAAGTACCGCCTGGCATTCCCCATCAAAAGGCGTTTAAAATAATCGCAGTTGAAATATCTCAATGGCTCTGGTATAGAAAGGTTGCCCAAGCTATGTCAGCCACAGGGAACCAAGAAACAGATGCCCTGCTGCCCACTAGCTGCTGTGAAAGACTGCCCCTCTTCCTGACTGGTGGGTAACAGGACTCTCCAGAAGGGAAGCCAGGAGGAGGAAGGCTGCTCACCCCAGCTTTGAGACCAGCTGACGGCAGGTTCAGCCTGGGAGCGCTACTCATCCCTCAGGTGAACCTCAGTGAGTTCATCTTCCCCATCCGCCACTCAGACACAAGTAAATGGCCCTGAGGTATAAAAACCCACTGAGTAGGTTGCTCATTGATAAATTTGTATGGGAAAAACTTCCACATCCCCCCCACCCTAAGCCACTTCCCTATATGTTTCTAAATTCCTCCCTAATTCTGGACTAGCCTACAATTTACCCAGTAGTCCTTGCGCAGAAGCACCACAAGCCTAGGCCCAGAATGGAAGCAAACAGCCCAGGAAGAAGCCTAATTTCCCCAGCAAGAAAGGACACACTGGTACCTCATGCCTAAAACAGCCATCAGCCCCTCACAGGAAAAGCACATCTCGGGTCAGCAGGGAGGGGAGTTAGGCTACACGGTTGTGTTGGAAGTTTTCAGCCCTCTTGGGAACAAGGTGTGTATGCTGTACCAGTTAACCTGCCTGGGTTCACCCTTGGGAGAGGAGACGTCATCCCCTGGGTCCAGGCACAGTGATGGCACAGATCCCTGGCAGCCTCCAGAAGAGGACAGAGGTGCTTGCATGAGTTTGTAACTAGCCAGGACACAGGCTCAGTCACTCAGCACCTACTTGGTTTGCTCCTTAACCCAAATAACTTGAGGACAGAAGTTTATGGTCCCTGCTTAACTTGAAATCCTATTGCTCCATTTCTTAAGGGAAATGCCTTTGGACCTGCCATGTTTTCCTAGACTTGGAAAAGCTAGTCCTTTAGCTGGGGATAGCAAGGAGACTTCACAGTTAGTGTTCCTTATCAGTGTGAAGTTCTGCACTGAACGCTGCACACGTTTCTTGGACTGACATGAGAAAGTGGTGTGTGGCTCAGCTCCCTTCACGTGAGGTCAGTCATGCCCATACAGAGTATGAAAGACGAGGCACCTTCAAATTAAGAACCAAAGTTTAATCTAGTTGACTAGCACCCCAATACTCATGTATAAATTACCAGGGTCTGGACTTGCCTGACAGAAGGCAGCAGAGTGAAGGACCCTCACTTAAAATGAACGTCCTGACCACATCTGACACAAGGCTACCCTGTCCTCTGGTTGGCACAGTGGCTCCAGATACCATTGTGGAGCAGGGGTTAGGCCTATAGAAACCCGAGTCTGGCCTGCCTGCCTTAACTCCACATCTGCACATACAGCAGCCTGGGGGCCTGCAGGCCTGAGCTACAAGAAGGGAACCCTCTACATGGCCATCCCATTACGTGCCCGTCTGTCTTGATGGGAAGCCATGGGCTCAGCCACAGATGGTATGCATATGCCCATCCTAGCCAAGACAGTTCTGCTGCCCCAGAGGGGAAAAGAGTCACTGTCTCCTTCAGTTGTCTATGGAGTCTGGGGGAGGGGGAACCTAAAGAATTGATCACTCAGTGCAAGCCATTTGAAGGTCGGGAACTCTCCGCAGAGCAGCTGACACTACAGCCAGTTCACCTTGTGCACCCAGGAACCAGGGAGGAACTATTCTGAATTCCTGGTCATTAGAACTGAGTAACTACTCCAAGGTAATTAGATCATTAATGGGAAGTGAACACAAAACTGGTTGGCTACAATCTCAGTCTCTGAGAACCGCGCTCCTCGGCTCCTAAGAGAACTCTACAGTTAGCTGCCACACTAGGTGGTGACTGCTCTCTCAGCTCCCTAGACTCCCACATCTAGGGTCTACAAACAGGGCCGCTCTGAAGAGGGACCAAGCATGCTTCTCCCAGAGGCCCCTCCAGCAGCAAGGCTGGCTGAGGCAGGTGTGCTAGGCTCCTGGCTCCCCAGGCCTCAGGGAGGGGCCCTGGTCCTGGCCAAACTGAGAGAGTTTGCATCTGTACACATTATGGTCCTTAGTCAATGGATTTTTTTCACTTGGATGTGTTTGAAAAGGGGGTGCCATAATATGGGGTTCCATATGGTAGGAACCCTTGCCCAAAGTGGCAGAGTAGGTACCACTCAGATCCTTTAGAGGCTACTCCACTGACCCTCCACTAAGTGAAGCCAGCCCTTCTCTGTCAGGCATGGCACCTTTTGAGAACACTCCAGGACCGCTACCTCTACCCAGGGTTAACACTGTCAGTGGACATGGCACCAGAGGCCCGGACCCGGGTGTAGCTGTCAGGAGTACTTGCCAAGCACGCCCAAGGCCGTGAGTGCCATTCCCAGCATGTACACACACGCACGCATGTGCACGCGCACACACACAAACACAGAATTTCCAGAGTCACCAACTATTTACAAGGAGATTAACCCAACATGTTACCCTCCCAGAACCCAGCCTGGGGTTAGCAGACCTCCTACCTGAGGGAGGAGGCTGATGGTGAGCTTTAGGTTCCCTGGGCAGGAAACCCGGGCACAGGAAGGCTCTCTTCTCCAACCGTGACCTGGGTAGTGAGAATCCTATTGAACACTATGGTCAGGAGATCATTTCAGTGTATGAGTATCGCCAGCAAATACAGGTAACCACTTAAACAAACTAGTTAAGGATTCAGTCACCCAAACAGTACCCGCTGGCGTGAATTTCACAACACATGGTAAAGTTTGGTATTAAAATAAGACAGAGACATACATGAAACGCTCACAACACACATTTGGTTTCTGGATCTGTTTGGGGTCCAACTGACTCCGGCTGTATGACAGCCTCTCTGGCATTGACCACCTCTAAAGCAAGAGGCATCTTTGCTGGACCACTGCCACTTCTAGGCCCTACAGTCCAGGGATAAGATGGGAGGGGGGCACTTGGCTCTATGGAAGGAGGGGTGGGACAGGCAATCCCTTTCCTAATTAAAAAGGGGTCTAGAAATGCCCGAGTACACACCCCACCCCGCCCCGCCCCTGCCTCCTTCCAATAACACATAGATTCCCATGGGAAAGAGGCAACTAACGTAGCTGCCATGCCACATGTTCAAGCCCCAGGGAAAGTTACCATTTGGCACCTGTAGCAGCGGCTTGGATTAGCAAGAGTGAGGGCCGAGAGGGTGGGGGGTGGCTCAGCTGATGCCCCAGACCACCCCAGGTTACAGGACTGGATGAAGTCAACTTGCCTCTTGCCAGTGATAAACCATGGGTTTAAAATTCATTAACATTCATTTTGGTGATAAAAATTCCTTAGGGTGGGAGCAAAATCACATTCCCAAGCAAACGTTAACCCTTCCTGAGGGAAAGGGACACGATTGAACATATTTTCGAAATACTATATGCAGAGGGGTGTCTGCAGCTTCTGCCAACACCACAGTGACGACAGACTTGGCACGTTCCTCAGTGACATGGTCTTCTTCATTCATCCATCAAGTTTGACAGCGACACCCACCGGCACACAGAGGAAAGGTATCTTTCCTGGGGACGGCCAAGGAAGGACACTCAAGGGGCAAGTCCATCTGTTAGGGTCACATCATGGATCACAGCAGAGCTAGCTCAGACAGACCAACTTAAAACTCTGCAAAAGACACTTAAAAAACAAAAACATGATCTCTTGAAAAAAATAAACAAAACAATTTTTAAATTCATGCAAATTGAGGAAGGAAGGAAATGGTAAAAGGTACTGAAAAAATAAACATGATTCTATTTGGGCGGAAGAAGTTTGTCTCCGAATTCTTGAAAGCCATGCCCTGGCTGTCGCTGTCACGTGTCTAGTGTCCGTCCCTACCCACACTGTCCTCCGCAGCTTGCCGTCCTCCGCGGCCTCCAGGGAGAGGGGCAAAGTCTTTGGTCTCAATGCTGTAGGACGCAGCATGGCAGACAAGCTCACACTAGTGGAAGTCATGGTCAGACAGGCCAGGAGGCCGGACGAGGGGACCGAGGGGCTCTAGATGGCGCCGTCACTGTGCAGGCTGTGGTTGGTCTTGTTGTGCGATACACAGTTCTGTTCGTTGAGCAAGTTGGCCGTCTCGTCCGGCAGCCCGTCATGCAGCTCCGTAAGAGTCAATTCAATTTTAGTGTTTTCACTGTCTGAAGACTGAGGGGTTTTGTCCATCCGGGATGCCATCAAGGCATTTTGGTATTGCTGTCTGGAGATCTGGGGCCAGAAGAGGACACAGAAAACAAACCGAGACAACACTTATTTTTAGGTTCTCTTGTCTCCTACACCGCATCACTCTCTGAACACCCCAGAGCTCTCGGAGAAAATCATCCTTGAGTAGAAAGCAGGCAGCGCTGAAGGTCAAGTTGATTCTGGCAGTCAAGTCGGTTCTCGCCACTGGGACCCTTCCTACATCTTGCCTCTTAACGCTCAGATACGAGAAAAGTGGGGATCAGTGTCCATCAGCTAAGGGCACCACAGGCTCCGATAGACGGCTATTTCAGACTAAGAGAAGAACCTGTCTCCGAGGCAGAAGGCAACCTCAGAGTGCTTTTCGGGTCAGCCTGAGCCACTAGCTACAGGCTCTGAGAACTCTGAGAATGGCTTTTTCCCTCATCTCCATTCCTGCCCCCTGCCAAGACTGTGTTTGCTTTGACTGCTCATGGCTGCTCATGGCATGGAACTGAGATCAGTATGGGCCCTAAGAGGGCGGTGAGATGCTCTGACAGCCAAGGGGAAGCCTGTGGGAAGTGGACAAGCTGTCAGGGATGTGGCTGATACCTGTGGGATCCAGCCAGCCTGCCCTCCCCCGCTCACCTTGACAAACTGTAGGTCAGAGAGGGCTCGCACTGAGTAATCTGGGATGTAGACCTGGAGGAATGAAGAATTGAGCTGGTTGTTGCTGCTCCCCAAGGTTGGTGTCATGGCGTCAATCCGGTCGCTTCGGCTGAGAGAGTCTGAGTGGTTCAGGCCACAGGGGCGAGGAGGTGACTTATTTTCACCTAGAAGAGGGAGAAGATTCAGCTTTTAAAGCACCGTAGATACAGCCAATGGGAAGTGATTACTCCAAACAAAAAGCAATTGCACAAGCACACATCATGTCTCTCCGCAGGCTACGTGGGTCTCAGCTGTGACAGACCCGGTCTGGGTAGAAAGGCAAAGAAAGGCTCAGGAGCTGGGGACCCGCCTCACAGGGGAACATCACTAGATACACAGGTGGGGCTGGGAAAAGGCCCAGGACACGGAAGCTGCCTGAGACTAATATGGAGCAGAAAAGACTCTTTCATTATTTTTCTAGAAGCCAAAACTAATTATCACAGTCCCTCTGCCTTTGCCACTTATCCATCAGCAGTTCAAGGTGCCTTGTGTTCTCTCGCTGTCAGAGAACGTTCTTCACAGCTTTTTATTGTAAATGTTCTGTGCACCACACGCAGTGCCCGTGGAGGCCAGAAGAGGGGATTGGAACCCTTAGAACCAGAGTTAACATTTTTAGCTGCCATGTGGGTCATCTGGAAAAGCAACAAGTGCCCTTAACCACTGAGCCATCTCTCCAGTCCCCATTCCCTGTAGCTTTAACTGTGTTAAAGCTACGTTAAAGCTAAAACTGGGCTGGACGTGGTGGCTACGACTACATCCCAGCACTCAAGGACAGAGGTGGGTGGATCTCTGAGTTTGAGGTCGACCTCTTCCTCAGCTAGAGAGGAAGTTCTTGGATAGTCAGGGCTACACAAGAGAAACCCTGTCTCAAAACACCTAAACAAGCAAACAAGCAAAGCTTACTTCTGCACCAAGGACGCTGCTTGTGTGGCTGCTGTAACAAACTATTGCAGATACAGCTGGCTGCCCACATTAAATGGGCTCTGAACTGCAGAATGCCACAGGATAGAGGGGACCCACTCCCCCATCTTCCAGTGCCCTTAACTGATGCCCCCACAGGGGAGGCAGCCTTGGCTAGTCCCGCCTGTCAACTGTGGAGAAGTCTATCACCATGGTCACAGTGTAGCTTCTGTCTCAAGTGACAGGCGTGCGCAGTGCCACTGAGCAACCTGAAGCCGCCCTGAAGAAGTGGAAACACTGGTTCCCCCGAAACTTCCCTCCCCCACAGTGGTGCCAAACCCTCAGCCCACCCTACCACCCGCCCCACTTGGTAAGGGCAGAAAACATCAGTACCAGGGCACCCAGGCCTCGGGGCAGAAAACATCAGTACCAGGGCCCCCAGGCCGCAGGCTCCATGTCTACCATCATGTCCTGCCCAGTTCACAGGGCCGCCTGCCCACTGGTTTGACTCAGCAGCACCTCCTACCACCTCCTGAGAGAATGCACACGTTAATAACCAATGCTTTAGGTTTAGCAGAGAACTTTGAACCCATGACCCAAATCGGCTGAGCTCCAGCATCCTTATCTGTAAGATGAGTACAGTGTTCCCAGCTCGCATGGTCTGAGGGTTCAAAGGAAGACACAAAGTGCTGAGCACAGCATGACATCAGTGAGCCCCAGATAAATGTGACACACTGACATGTCAACTTTTCCCAGACCTCGCCACCATGCCCCTGCCTCAGGATCAAGCCTTTCTACACAAAGATACCACCTGTCATGACAGCCCTTTAAGTTCTTTTGAACAAGGAATTCTGTGGCTCTACCTCCAGGTTTCAGAACAAACCACGTGTTCCTGCACATCTTTTGAAACAGTGTTTACTCCTATGGTGTCAAGGCTTTAAAGGCAGGTGCCCCGCAGGCTTGCTGCCTCTCGACCAGACCTCCAGGAAGAGGGCGGGGCCTGAATTCTTCCGGGCTTCCTGTTAGTGAGCACTGTTTTCTGGGTGTGTGTGCGCACACGTGTGAGTATATGCTTGCACAGGTGTTTGTGCATGTGTGCGTGATGGATCGCTTGCTTTGCTGCCAGCATGACCACAGTCTGGAGAAACCACCCATTTCCCTGTACCCACTCTATAAGAGCCATGGGCCCGACACGATTGTCTGGGAACATACCTCATGACTTTAATGACACTGATCAGCATCTCACAGACAATATTGGAATCTTAAGAGCAACAGCGACACTGGCTGCAGCCTCCTCGACATGAAGGCAGCAGGCCTTGAGAAACTGTGTCTGCCTACGATTCCAACAGACTCACATTCAACTTTTGCTCACAAAAAGCAACCAGGAAAGTTTAATCATTTTTAAAGTTATCATAAAATTATTGTAAGAGGGAGAGTTGAAGTCCGGTGACAGGGCAGCCATTCCGCAGCGGGGTGGAGGCAGCGGGGAGAGATTTAACTGGTTTTCTGGAGTTGTTTGCTGCTCTTTGATGGAAGCCGCCTGTTTTCTCAAGAAGCTGCTGGAAGTTTGTCCTCCAGGCAATACTCCTGACGTAAGCAGGGGTCTGGGGAGCCTCGAACTATTTCAAGATCTGAGTGGGAAGGCAGGACCCAGAGTACACAAAATGTTCTAAAGTGTCACAGAAGCACAGGCAGGAGCCTTGCCCGCTCAATGGGGGCGTGCTTGCCCCCAAGATGGAGTCCTTTTGGTCCTAGCTACTCTTGCTAAAAGCATTGTCCTCCTGTTGCGGCTTTATAGGGATAACGGAGTTCAGCTCAAGTCACTGTTGCTTTTAATCCTAAGAATTTCACGAAGCCCTTTTCTAGCAGTGTCCACACTGGAAGCTCTGGGAGAGGCCTGCCAATGCGGCTTCCATAGAGCAGCATGCCGACTGGGCCATCTGAATTCTGGCTGTTGCTACTTATATACATCGGATTTTCCAGAGTCAGGGCAGTCAGTCAGTCGGCCAGATCAAACCCTTGGGTTTCTTGTGAGTGAGCCCGACCCAGCACCCAGGTCCACTGCTGCCTGGAAGACGACATCACCACGATGGCTGTCACCCCTGAGAGTGGTCTGTGATGACACGGGCTGTCATGGATGCCCTATGATCACGTCCCTGT